TTGTCCTCAGATGGTTCGTCATCTTCCAGGTCATCAAAAGGATGGTTTACCTACAAATTTCATTAGTATCCTTAGGGAATTCTAGTCACTGCCGACGCACCGGCTCCTTGACTTGTGGCTTCTTTGACCAGCTTTCCAACAGCTTGAACGCGAGCCTTTTCTGCATTCTCCATCTCCTTTTTCCGCTTAGACGCTCCCTTCTCCGCAGCATCGTCCTCCAGTAAGCGCTTCCGTGCACTACTTTGGCCGACTCGTGGAATCTGTACATGGATATAAACGGTGAATGCTATTCAGAATGTAACACACCGGGATGTTCTCTGCCTCGAATACTGCTTGCGCTGCACGCGTCAAGTCGTCGACCCACTTGATGAGAAGTATATTCTGACCACCATTCCCGCTAATATGCTCCCGGAGAACGGCAGCAACCGCCACAAGATGGGGTCCACGAGATTTGAAGACAATTAGTTGGTCATTGGCTCGGCTGCCGAATGAGACCTCGAGTTCCTGGTTCACAACACTCTTCTCGCAACCGTATATGGCGGCCTTCTCTGAATTGACTTGGTAATTGAGGAAATCATGGTCTTGGCCAATGGGAATGGTAGCGGGGAGGTGCTGAAGGAGGTGTGTGAGAGTATTGATTTGCTCGCGATAGAACAGGTGTCCGATAGATGGCAGAGAAGCCGTTTTCTTGCTGGGCTTTGGCGGCATGGTGGACGTCAAGGCGGAAAATTTTATTGATCCGTCCGCACTGACCGGCCCGATCACGTGCTCTGGGTTTATTAACACCCCCGCAATGACTGGCCAATTATTTACAGTGTTAATTAACTGGTGTTAATTAACCGGTTAATTAACCGGGTCAACTTACAGCACCCTACTCCTCTGAGTCGACAAGCCCACGACGCTCTGCACACCAAACTGCAATATACTGTCAGCATCGACTTGAAGCGGATTATACCGCCCGACCCTGCATGTAACAGTCAAGTTGTTGCCAGTTAATGATCACTAGCGCCTGGGCCGACAACTCGAGGTTGAAGTCAACATCACCGTATGGGGCCGAATTCCGAGTCATTGTGAGCTGGAAACGGTTTTGGCAATTCGGCACACTCACCATTGGCGAAATGTGTGTTCGCGGACTGCCGGACTAGCGCCGACTCGGAGCCGCTCGTCGTTCTTCACCGAGAAATATGTCCCAAAGTACTCAGACTGGACGGGCCAGGACACGCGCCGAGCACAAGCCGCGATAACACAAGTGGGCATACAGTGCGGCCAGAGCTTGCCGGATCGAAAGGCTGGCATCGAGTGCTGACGGAGGGTGAGGCCAAGTGGAAAGCCGTGAGCACTCTCGCAGTCTTTGCCAAATGACGGCGTCGAGCATTGGCAAAATGCGCGTCGGGTGAGTAAGCCTGAGCTTGTCGTATCGCGTCCCGGAACAACAAATACCTTTCAGTCGTGAGCAGAGTCAAATTCGGACAGAAACCAAGCGCACCCTCTACATAGTTGGTCACGCTGGTGTCAGGGGAACCTCCCTTTCGGCCCCTCGGAGACGCCTCCGATTCCGGTCCGACTCCGGTTCCGTCTCCGGTCCGGCCCTCCGTCTCGCCCGCACAATCACCGATCCGTCAACGCCCTCCCAACGGTCGCCCTGGGACCTTGCCTGCGACGCCGCCCAAGCCTTCTGTGCCCGACAGCGGCAGCTACGGACAAGCAGTATATAGTCAGCTCCCTAGCAGGCGGACCCTTAGAGTTTCTTCTCTTTGGATCCTCCCCTGCTAGGTCAGCTTCATTTGTATTTGCTTACCAATGTTCACGCTTTGGATCCTCCCCTGCTAGGACCTTGATCTCAGGCCTCCGGGTTGCCCTTACAGCTGGAAGGATTAATCAACTTCGATAATGAGCGGCTGCACAAATCTAGCACATCGTCAGTGATTTGGTACTCAGGGAAGCTGTAAAGATAATATACAAGAGCCACAGGTTCGGCACCTTCGTGCTGGTTACTGACATTCGAAGGCTTGCGCACCACCTCGCAAGGTGCCGCAAAGGGCGTGAAGCGACGATTAGGAAGAGAACTTGAAGGGACTCGGATTGTCAGCTGTATATGCGTCGTTGCCAGGCCTGAAGGTACCAGTTCGTCGACAGAGAGGCCAAACATCACGGCAGTGGGCACCAGGGGAGCCCGCAAGACACGAGCGGCAAGTACTACTTATAGTAGCAACTTGCGACGAAAAGACAAGCCACGGTGGATATAATACCATCAAGGCGCCGCAGAGCGAGTTCTTGGGTCATATTGCTGATTGGGACCCAAGTTGCGGGCCGGAATGTGGCGCTGAGAGAAGGTTGTGAGTGTGCGCTGGCAAGATCAGTGACGTGTAATGTCACGTGCCTATCGGCATGGTCGCCGAGGGTGCCACGGTGAGCTGGGGTCCCTGCTTGGCAGTCGGCAATTGTCGCCACACGTCAAAAGTGTGACTGAATGGTTTCTGTTGCAATACGGACTGGTTGGGAGACTTCAAGTTTGAGAGCGGACTAAGATGAGCTCGAACAACGGGCCGAGTCATGATCTGGGTAGTTGTCGTTAAAGGGGTCATAGGTCGATACCTGACTTCTGTCGCCTCAGATCTAGACGCCGAGACGGCGATCGAGGATACTTATGTGGCACATTATCTGGGGAGGAAGCGTGTTGGCAGGGTAAACGAGTCAGGCGGAGAGCCTGTCGTGGATAGTCTGCCGAAGCGCCTCCAGCTGCGCCAGTGCGTCGGCTCCGTTCGAAGCCGCGCAATCGATTCGTCAATTTCTGTCCCTTGTTTTCGTCACGGTAAGTACTACCTCGACCACGTCAAAAGTGGCGAGCACGCGTAAAGTCGAAAGAGGTGTCGAGTGGTCGTAGTTCATGCTGCTGTGGATGTTGGGCCCGGATGAGATTCGACAACTGGTGGGTCGACACGTACCCACCTACAGTACCCCAATACTACGGCTAGTTAGCTGGCATGAAGGGGGGCTTGGCAGTGGCTAACTAGCCTTTAGCGAGTACCATCTGCCATGCCTGTCATGCATGATCAGCTTCTTTCTGAGAATAGCAACTCCGTGATGTAGTAATTCATCTTGTTTTGAATGTTGACGCGTTGGTGTGCGTCAGTGACTACTGACACGTGAGTGTCGTCGCACTGCGTCAGTGAAAACACTGACGCGGTGAACTTGGAGCTTGTTGTGAAGTCGCCACGTCACGTCACCTGAGTGACTGGCTCACGCGTCACGATCAACAACAACTTTTTCAATCGCCTCATCATGCCCCGCGCCCAGCGTCGCAAGCAAGAGCCGGACCCCGTCGTTGTTGAGGCCAGCAGCACGGAGGCTCCTGCCCCCCGTCGCCAAAGCAGCCGCAAGCAGGTTGTCGAATCAAGAGCCTCCTCAGACGCGAACGCGACAACTAGGTACGCGTCGATGATAATATGTCTTCGTCGTTGTCTAATCATCACTTGCTTCAAAGTAAGAAACGCAAGGCTCCTTCGTCCGTCAATCTCTTCTTCACCCTCCCATCTCTCTGACCCCTCCAGAAGCTCCGCTGCTCCCTCGAGCTCCAAACCAAAAAAGGCCCGCGTCGTCAAAGCCAAACCTAAGGAGGAGGTTGGCGAACAGTATTGCTGATGCAAAACTATCATTGATGCTATAGTATCGCTGACGCAAAAATATCAGTCGTCCTGTTGATGTCATGTTCTACACCATGGTCCCTAATAATCTTCACCCCACCCTTGACCCCACGACCTTCCAGACTTTGCCCGTACATCCTGAGAAATAAATTGCATCTGGTCCTTCAAGAAAGCAAAAGCATCATCACGTGAACTGGCTTCAGAGAAACTAGTGAGAAGGCCTGCAAGCTTGAGATCATATGCAGCACATTGTGCAAGATCCCTTCTTCTTAGTCAATGGTATGTCTGCAGGTCAAGAGGAAATACAGACCTATCATTGAGGATGCGCACCTCATTCCTGCCAGAAACCACCCAAAGAGCAGCTGGATGGATTGGCAGAGCCACAGGCACAAGTTCCTTGGCTGTGGGTGCTAGTTGCATTGTGCTAGCCTGGGGAGAGGCAGGTGGGGTTGCTGTTCCACTGACTGTGGGTTGAGACAAGGGGTAGACTCTGGGTGGAGGCAATGTCTTGATAGTCATGAGCTGAAGCAGAGGGGGGGAGGGATAGGGCCAGTGTGCTTCTCTAAAAAGATTGCCTGGGCCACCTCAGAGACGGCAGTGCAGTAGTCCCGTGAAAAAGGGATGCTTGTCTGAAATTCCCAAGCAGCCAAGGCCTCCTCACTTGGATAGATAGTGTCAGTAACAACCAGGAATTCATGAACAATGGCGCACAATGAGGTATAGACCCCAGCATGCAGCCCTTTTGAAACCTTGAACCAAACTGATGGTGAGTCTGAAGCTCGGTGTGTCCTGTTTGTATGAACATCCTCCCAGATGTCGTAGTATGAGGAGAGAAGATCTTGATCAGTGGGAGTGTTCATGAGAGTTGCAAGTCAGGTGTGACGCCTCAGCTCATTCATCAACGCCCATCACTGACGAGCTAACTATCACTAACGCGCGCTCATCTGGTCTGACGCATCATCTCAGCACTGACGTGTGGGTGATTGCCTTGACTTGACTAGGACGAACGCTACATCACGGAGTTGCTATTCTCAGAAAGAAGCTGATCATGCATGACAGGCATGGCAGATGGCACTCGCTAAAGGCTAGTTAGCCACTGCCAAGCCCCCCTTCATGCCAGCCAACTAGCCGTAGTATTGGGGTACTGTAGGTGCATGCATGACAGGCATGGCAGATGGCACTCGCTAAAGGCTAGTTAGCCACTGCCAAGCCCCCCTTCATGCCAGCCAACTAGCCGTAGTATTGGGGTACTGTAGGTGCACGTACCAATGCCAAAGCGGAGGAAGAAGTGAAAGACAAGTTAGCGATCGCGATCACGATCACGTCACTCGCACGACACTTCTTCCTCCTTCTCCCATGTCCTCGTCGCTGGAGACGGTGAACGAGCTGCTCGCGGGCAGCGTGGGCGGCGCGGCGCAAGTGCTCGTCGGCCAGCCACTGGACACCGTCAAGACGCGCGCGCAAATCGCTCCGAGTTCGTGCTGTGTTTGTCATCCGCCGGGGCAGAGGCAGAGCTGACGATGTGCCGCGTTGCGTGTAGCGGGCATGTTTGTGCGTTCCCTTGCCGCGATTTGTACCGTGCCGGGTGCTGATTTCTTGCCCCGCAGAAAGGCCCCATGGACATCGTCGCGCAGACGATCCGGAAGGAGGGTGTGCTGGCGCTGTACAAGGGTGCGTCGGGTCTTGCAATCCTACCAACGTTCTCTTCTTATGGCAAACTTCTAGGGATGCTGAGTCCCCTCCTCGGCATTGCTGGCGTGAACTCGCTGCTCTTCGCGTCATACGGCGCCTCGAAGCGGCTCGTGTCGCCCTTTGGCCAGCTCACCCTCCAGCAAACGGCGCTTGCCGGCGCCATGGCGGGGGCGGCCAACGCCGTGCTCGCCAGCCCTGGTGCGTCTTCGCCAACTCAGATTCCACCGGCCACTGACACAAGGCAGTGGAAATGTTCAAGGTCCGCATGCAGGGCCAATATGGCGGGGCGGGCGACAAGCGGTTGCGTGTCGTGGCGCGGGAAATGTGGACGCAGTGGGGGTTCAGGAAGGGCGTCATGCGTGGCTATTGGGTGCGTCATGGTCGCCATGGTAGACTTTCGAGATACTAACGTGGAGAAGGTCACCGTTGCGCGTGAAATTCCGGCGTATGCTGGGTGCGTCTTCGCTTCTGCTCGTGCTGTCCACACTGATGTCTTCAGATTCTATACAGGTTAATTGCTATCCGAACTTCCGTCCCCATTCCCTTCTGTTGACATCCGTCCAGCATACGAGTTCTCGAAACGCAAATTCGCCGCGCGATATGGCACGCAGAACCTTCCCGTCTGGGCTCTCCTGGCCAGCGGTTCGACGGGCGGCGTGCGTTGGCCTTTTAGCTCACTCCAGTTTGGATACTCACGCTCCTCAGATTGCCTATTGGCTTGCGTGCTATCCACTTGGTACACGAGCTCTTGCCCGTTTCCCTGCTTCTAAAAGCAATTGCAGACGTCATTAAATCGCGCATCCAACTGCGCGAAACGCCGCCGACGGGGGACCCTCTGCAGTATATCGCGCGCGAGTTCCGGGCGATCGTCGCTGAGTCCGGCTGGTGCGTATTTTTGTGCGAGCGGGGCTGGGTGTGGCTGATTAGTGATCCAAGGACGGGGCTGTTCCGCGGGCTCTCGCCGTCATGTACGTTGTTTCTTCCGCTCTTTTGAAAAAATTGACGCAACGCCGTAGTGCTGAGGAGCATTCCTGCAGCCGCGAGCACGTTCGCTGCGTTCGAGCTCACGAGAGGTAATCCCGCTTCGTTAGCTGGAGTGAAGGCTGATCGACGCCCTTAGAATGGCTGGCGGGGATGACGGGCGTCTGACCGTTAGTTACGATAGTGAGACCTGCGAAATTAACTATTGGTACTGACGCGAGCTCCCGCAAGAGAAAAAAGAAACAACACGATGCTCATTAAAAGGACCATAAATTTTTGAATATCGACCGCTCCGCACCCCCGCTCCGCACATGCACTAATCCTTGGTGCTGGTGATCCCTGAATAATCCAGGTCGCGCCATGCGAATGATTCGGCTCACGTATGTACATTGGGGAGACCTCCTGACGGAGTCCAGGGCGGCAGCTCACCTCCGGCCGCCGTCTGGCTCGCGCTGCAGCTGCGCGCGGAGCCCCGCGGCCTCCACGCGGAGCTCGGCGGCCTGCTTCGCCGCGGCGCGCAGCTTGCGGCCCTTGCCCACGAAGCAGAAGGCGGTCACGAGCACGAGCCCGAGCCCGACCGCGGAGGCGAGCGCGAGCGCGACGCTCGGGCCGATCTGCTCCGCGTCCGTGTCGCGGCAGATGTACGGCGCGATGCTCGGCGGCGGGGCGGACGCAGTCACGGTCACGGTCTGTGAGGGGTCAGCGGGGGAGAGAGAGAGGGGGGGGTATGGGTGCGCACTTGGGCGGACGCGGACGGGAGGGCGGTGAGGAGGAAAAGGAGGGCGAGGGCGAGTGGGCGGGGCATGGAGAAGGGAGCTTTCTTGCGCGAGGGCGGGCTGCGGGCGGTACACATATACGCCCGTCTTCGTGCAGGGTCGATCGCGGTCCCGGGCTCGACGGCCGCCAAGCACGCCGCGCAAATCCAGGCGCAGCGAGGCGTGTCTCCCAGATTCTGGTGCTGACTCGCTGCAGCCCACGCTCTTCCGGCGCTGCTCGGACCTCGGCCCGGAGCAGGCCGGCCCCGTCGCAGCCATCGCCGTCGGCGCCGTCGTCCGCTTCCTCCTCCGCCTCGCCGAGGCTTGCGTTTGCACTCGCAAGGCCCGCGCCACCGAGCAGGTCACCGTAGGGTGCTGTGAGTAAGGCAAAAAGTATTACTCACACTGATAGTGCTGGCCAAATACGGATATGATATGCCAAATAGCATATCCAAGGGGTTCAAGATTCTTATCAGGGTAGGGGGCCCTGGGGGATAAAAAAACTTTTGTGTATGAAAGATTTGAGCCTTATATGGGTATAAAAATACTGAAAGAGGATTGGAAAAAACTTTCCGACCCTATTACTGTCCCATTTCGTTCAATTCAGCGGGCCTGTGACCTGTGACCGTTTGGCCAAAAGGTTCAATTCGGCCGCAGGCCGAATTTTGTGTGACCTCTTACCTAAATAGGAAATTCAGCGCGCCAGAGGCGCGAAAATTTTGAGATTTCTCCAAATCGGGACGGTTTGGGACCAAAGCAATTGGCTGTGACCCATGACCGGCCGAAATATTTCGGCCAAAAAATCCGATGTGACCGTGACCCGCAGAATTGATTGAAATGGGTCAGTACTCTTATATTAAGCAGATGTTGTGTGAATGTATGCACATGTTTGGCACCAGCTTTAATAATTTATTTGATCCACACTTCCATTTTTGGGAGTCACTGCTATTATAGCCCCAACTTGGTAAAAGAACCTGTAAAATGTGACCAATTGTCAGGGGAACCCCCGCTTCAGCCTCCTTCGGACCCTCCGAATGCATCCGAGGCGCATCCGACCGGCGCCCCCTCGGACGCTCCGACCCACCCCGACCATCGTCCATGGCCTCCTTCGCCCGCACAATCACCGATCCATCAAGACCCTCCCAACGATCACCTTGGGACAGAGCCTGCGATGCCGCTCAGGCCTTCTGCGCTCTACGTCGGCAGTTACGGACGACCAGTATATAGTTGGCGCCCTAGCAGGCGGACCCTTAGAGTTTCTTCTCTTTGGATCCTCCCCTGCTAGGTTGGTCCCTCCGTGTATTTCCGTAGCTTCTATTCACGCTTTGGATCCTCCCCTGCTAGGCTTTTCGTCGGAGTCTCCAGGGTTGCCCTTACACCAATCCTAATTGGGAGGTAAAGCTGTAAGTGATATCTTGCACCCAGTACCATGAACAAGTTATATCTAAGGTTATTCAACACGACAATACTGAAGTATGTACCAAGTAAGTGCCCACAATTGAGAAATAAGTACATAAAGTTTACTGACTTGGGTTGCAATTTATATATATTAAGTAACAATAGTAGACCAGATATTTAAGAAGACTATTGGGCATCTATGTGCCATTCTGTAGTTAGTGGCAAGGTTCTTAATCTGAGAATTCATATTATTCAAGCAACATTCAAAGCTGGGGCTACACCCCAGCCCTGTCTAGTATCCATGATTCAGATGTTGAACCCCCTTTGAAAGAGGTATTCCTTATTGAAAAAAACTTGAAAGAAAACCTCTGGTATTTGAGCTGGCAGAGAGCTGCAGAAACCAATTCCAAAAACAGTCATAAAAATTGAATTACTTCAAATACCATTTTATTTATAACGGTAACCAATTTTTCAATCCGCCTGTTAATCCCTTTCAATCCATCCATTCCAAAGTCTACATCCATTATTCCGGGCAACACCCAGCCTCGCATATGTCCCCAAGCCAGGCGCAGGCTTGTACTGTGCCAGGGCACTGTGCCTTGACAGGGTCACTGGGATTTTTTTTTACAGTTCCAATTACAATTACTTAGTCACATGCTCTGACCAATGTTCTCCGCACAACATCCTCTGCAGAATGCATTCTGCACCATTGTTGTCTGGCCAATCGTGGAAGAAACTGTTTTCTTTTGACTACAATTATTATACATTTAAGTATATATTAATGTCTTTTGGTCAGTGACATATAATATACACCAGATTACTATAGAATAGCACAGCACCATGCCACACAATGACACCCACATGACCCCACCTGTCTGCTCCAGCGCTGGTGTCGGGCCACCGAGAGCCTACAACATGCAGCACGTGATGACGGGGAACAGGCACCCCAGTGGGAGGAATGCACATGTGGGAAGCACATGACCGAGAACAATACATCGAGCTGTCACTGAGCCCAACTTGGCACAAGGGGATGGGGAAGGAGCGCTAGGAGGCTAGGAGTAGCACCTGGCCCGCAAGGGATGTACAATCGTGCCCTCTGCAGCCAGGAACAGGGATGGGGAGCAGGAGCAGAAGAGGCCAAGGGTGTCCAATCACCCCTCAGCGGGCCCACATATATAAGGTGTGATGGTATACATACTACACTGTACTCTATCACTTAGATCGTCTATTGTACCACTTCTCTCTACGCAAGGAGGCATCACTGATTCATCAGGCCCGAAACATCCAGATTCGGGTATTGTTAGGGGAACCTCCCCTTCGGCCCGGAGACGTGTCTGATTCTGGTCCGATTCCGGTTCCGACTCCGGTCCGGCCCTCTATCTCGCCCGCACAATCACCGATCCGTCAACGCCCTCCCGACGGTCGCCCTGGGACCTCGCCTGCGACGCCGCCCAAGCCTTCTGTGCCCGACAGCGGCAGCTACGGACAAGCAGTATATAGTCAGCTCCCTAGCAGGCGGACCCTTAGAGTTTCTTCTCTTTGGATCCTCCCCTGCTAGGTCAGCTTCATTTGTATTCGCTTACCAATGTTCACGCTTTGGATCCTCCCCTGCTAGGACCTTGATCTCAGGCCTCCGGGGTTGCCCTTACAGGTATTCCCTGATGTACTTCACTTGCAGGCCAGATAATCCATCTCGCTAAGTGCCATGTCAGTGGAAACCCGATGGCCAATTGGGAAACACTGAGGGGACCAGCAGCCAAGTCAATGAGACTATGCTATATTCTGGAGATGCTGAGGGTACAGGAGGAAGAAGTAACTACTGTGACATAGGGGGTAAAGAGTGTGTAATGGGTTTACACCATATCAACCAGAGGACCAGAGCCAGAGCCAGAGTCGGAAACGGAATCCAAGTTGGAGAGCACTTGGTGGTGGAACACCACAGAAGGATGTTTGGGTGACCAGGGCTTCCAGTTGACCAAGACAAGACACAAGAGAAGACTTAGAAGAGCGGAGTCGAGACGATGCTAGGAATAGAGACCAGCAACACTAATTTCCAAACTGAAGTACATGATAATCTATCAAAGTCTTTATAGTATGAGAAGTAATGGAAACGGAATAAGGGATAACAAAGTAAGTAACAAGATTAGAACAAAGTCAAGTAAAGTAGAAGAGGAGTTACATACGAGGAACAAGGCATAGATAATTACATAGATCATAAGTTTAAAGTTGGAGTAATTGGAAATGCTCAGTAAATCTTCATTGCGTAAAAACCAAATACCGGAAGTGGATATCGGGATCAAATGCCGGAGTCAGCATAGATATAACATACCTGTTCTGTTCCAGGCATGTGCTCACTGCATGGCCCAACCCAAAGCCTGAAATATCAGCAGTCACAGGTATCAGTGTTGGAGTTGGGCTGTATTAGGTCATCGGGTCATCTGACTTTGAAGGGTTCTGAGGAGCACAAGAGGATGGGAATTTAGCCCTGAGAGTAAACAATATTAGCCTAATAACTATATTCTGCAGGTACTGCTCTTATATGCTAGAGTATTAGGGATAGGCCTCAGGGCAGATTGGATGGGTGCTATGTAGGGCCCGTAGGGGGTGAAAGGAAGGGGGTTGGAAGAATAGGAGTCGAGGAGGGTGGCGTCAGGTCTTGCCATTTCCTCATAGTCATGCTAATCCGGCCCCGAACGCGTCACGGAGGCCACAGGTGTCTGCGCCGCAACCGCCTGTAACGCATAACGCGCACAGTTGATTGAAATGGGACAGTACAATATCTGTTTCTAGGGCATGACATTTCATGAAAGTTTCACACACTACAGTAGTGTTAAAATTTAAATTTAGTCGGAAGCAAGACTCAAGGATAATAATACATGTGAGTCTAAGATATTATGTGTTCTATGTGAGGGGCTTCAATAAGTAAAAGCCTGGGGCAAGGTAAGGCTTAGTAGCATAGCTGACTAGCAAAACAAGGCTCCGCCAAATTGGAGGGCAGGGTGAGTGACACGGGCTTCCCAATCATGCCTAGGCTGAAGGCTTGGGCACTGATAGGGCCTCCACTGGGCAGCACTCCTTGACTATGAACTTGTCAGCAGGGATAGGGCACAAGGGTGGGTGGGGGGGGGGTTAACCAGCTTTCCCACACTTTGTCAGACTGGTAGGAGAGACATTTTTTGACATTTTGTCAACTGCTAAATTGGGGAGCATGCTTTCAACTAAGCACATAACAAGACAAAGCATATACAATGGAAACTTCATTCAGAATCCAATATTCTATTGAAACTACCTCAGTTGAATCTGGAGTGACAGACTACATGTCAGTCTTGTCAGTCTGGGTTCAAGTCTTTGGAGGTAGGATTAGAGGATGGCAGATGGTACAGCTATAGGTGTTGTGTGTTCAAGTTTATCACTTTTACCGCAACTTGAACCAGTTCCATATTTGAAACAGGAATGAGAAAAGTGGCAATACTCTGTACCAAGCACTAGTATTGAATATGTGGAGTAATATTAGTGTTGTCCAGGGCCGGGCCTAAGCCCTCAAGCCCTGCCCGGCCCGGCCCTCCCAGGCCCGGCCTAGGGCTGGGCTTGGGTAGGGCCTGTCAGGGCCCAGGGCCGGGGCTTGACTGTGGTGAAGCCCTCGGCCCTAGGGCTAAGCCCTGCCAGGCCCTGATGGCCGGCAGAGTGACCCGGAGTCACAAAATGTGACGAATGTGATGCTCAGAAGCTTCCAGTTCCATCACAATCTAGTAGTGTTGTCCAAATACGGATACGATACGCCTTTTGGCGTATCGTACTCGTATCAATATCGTATCGGGCTACCTGGGGCTATATTATATCTGTACTGTATCATATCGTGGTCGTCAAGATACGATACGATATATTTTCAATATATCACAATATATCGACTACATTTTTTTGGTACGAAGAGTTTCGATGTAATTGACACCTTCCCCCAGTCCTGACTTCAGCCATTCCTTACAGATGATATCAAGGGATGCGGTCTCCGCTGTCATTCGTGCGCGTTCATCCGTCAAAGTCCGCTCGACACTGGAGAATAAGCGCTCGCATGAGACGCTCATACCGGGGATGGCAAGTACATCCCTTGCGGCACGCGCAAGTGTACTGAGCGTTCCCTGGTTATTCTGTCAAGTGATTAGCTGGAGATTCCGAGGTAATGGCCCAGAGATACCTTCCACCAATCCAAAGCGTTGTCAAAATCATCGGCGACAGGCGAAATATTTCCGAGATAAAGGTCGACTTCTTGTTTTCCATCTTCATTCGGTGTCGGAGCAGTTGTTGTAGATTTTGTTGACGAGCCATTCATTGTGATGGCCATAGCGAAAATACTGGGCTGGCTTGGAGCAGCAGCAGGTGTGGATAAGGTTCTTGCCGAGCCCGAGGCCGTATTTGAGGTCGAATACGCCTTGGCAGTGTCGAGGAGAAGCTGCTTTGCTCGAACGGGCAAAGTCTTGTCCCAGTTTGCGCTCTCGAAGTACTTGACACGAATCGCGGGATGAAGGACTATAATAGTCGTGAGAAGTCGAAGCAGGAATATAAGTACAAGTTGTGCATACCGGCAGCCAAGAGTGCATAATCGCCAACGAGGGCCTTATTGATGTACTTTTGTTGCCAACTCCGCACCAGCACGGAGAGCCTTTGCTAAGCCATAGGGTGCGGACTCATGTTCGAGAGCCAGCCCCTTCAGTCGTGTTTCCATTAGCTTATAAAGGGTGAGCACACGAGGAAGCGTTGGGACTTTCTTCTCCGAGAAACCCAAAGTGCAGAGTCGAAGAACCTAAGAACTTGTTAGTCGGAAAGTAGTCAAATGAAAATATGGCTGTACTTCGAGCGCTTGAATCAGGTGCTTGACGAATTCCCAGTCTGCCGGTGACATCTCCCAGAGGCGTTTGCGGTTGAGCGCGAGGGTGCGTGCTTTACCAGTAAGGCCATCACCCATTTTGGAGATGAAAGAATCAAAGGCCTGGACAAGATGAGTGTTATGCGACATTTTTATGATATCCGATATGTACCTGTTGTAGTTTCAACGCTCGCGAGAGCTCCGCAAGGGTTGAATCCCATCGTACCGGCATGCCGCGAACAAATACCAGGGCTCGATACTCTTTTTTGGCCTTTTTCCGAATGAGTCTGCGAGCGACCTGCCGACGCTTTCCCGAACGGAGGATGTGTACGACAGTAGAGTGTATCTAGTGGTTGCGTAAAATGAGCGTCATTGCCTCTGCAAATAAGTAACACTGACCTTTGTGACAGGTGTCCAAACCTTTGCTTTTTTCTTCGCCGACAAGGCATGCGGCAGGGAGATTGTCGATGGCCTCATCAAGCTTCTCGAGTTCGTCCGTAAGTGCGGTCATGGGAGGAGGAAGGATGGAAGAAAAAAAAGATTGACAGGTGCCAAATGTCTCGGGCTTACCATATTTGGGTCACGGATCACCGCTGGCACTGGCACCTGTATCACAATATATCGCGATACGCACCTGCGCATATCGTATCATATCCATATCATATCGTACTCATATTGGGGCATATCTGTATTGTCAGAACCAGTCCAAAGTCGTATTGTATCCATATTTTTCACGATATATCCAAAATATATTTTCCATATTATATCTTTGGACAACACTACAATCTAGTGATGGCTGTGATGGCTAACCATTTTCATTGATATGGTACTGTAAACAAGCTGTAATAGTGAATATGTACCCAAAATAAAGTCAATGTGACTGATCTAGTGATTTAGCATCAGTCACATGTCCTCTTTTGGTTGCCAAGTACTACTCAAACAGCTCACTGACCAGGACAGGGCCTAAGCCTCAGGCCCTGGGCAGGGCAGGGCAGGGCAGGGCAGGGCCTGGGGCCAGGGCTTGACTCAGAGTCAAGCCCCAGCCCTGGAAAGCCCGGCCCTAAGTGGGGCTTGGCAGGGCAGCCCGGCCCTAGACAACACTAAGTAATATAACTACCACTGATACGTCTACTCACCTCTTGTGCGTCCTGCAACAACTGCCGCACTGCCTTAAGAAGCTCTTTCTCCCCATCCTCCCGCGTCGCCCTTTGCCTCTCCATCTCGTCCTCTGCGACACCCTCCGTGTATCCCGCAGCCTCGGCCAACACGGGAAGGTGCGCTTCGACGAACCGCAGCGTCGGCATTGGACACGCGCCATACGTCATTAGCAGGGATATAGACCGCACCAACCTGTCGGGATGCGGCGCGCGCCAGTGCTTCCATCGTGCCATTCGCTGCGGACTCGGGTTGGGCAGCTCGAGGAGCCGGAAGAGCAGCGGCCCGCGGGCCGGCATCCGGTTGGAGTGGTGGCGCAGCGGCACGTCCGCCGCCGGATCCGCGCCGCGTAGGAGGAGCTCCTTGGCTATGAGCGGGTTGCAGTGCAGCGCACAAGCCAGCGGCGTGCCGTCCCGGCCCGGGTGCTCTAGCGCTGCGCCGCGGGCCAGGAGAAGGTCGATCATCTCGACAGCATACGGAAGGTAGGTGATATACAAGGCCAAATAGAGCGCGGTGTCGGGGCTCGCCCGCGGGCCCAAAGAAGCGTTGACATCCGCGCCCGCGTCAAGGAGCAGCTCAACCATCCCGAGATGCTTACCCATGACTGCGAAGTGGAGCGGCCGGCCCCACGCCGCATTCCGCCTCCAGGTCCGCGCCGGCGCTGATGAGGATCCGGGCCCCTTCGAGGTTGTTGTCTTGCGCCGCCCGGTGAAGCGGTGTTTCGCCTGTAAATGGCCAGGTGATTGATTTCCAGTTTGGATCCAATGAATAAGGTGGCGCCAGTAGTTGCTTAAGAAGCGGCGCCAGCCGACTGTGCTGGGACACCCGGCGCAGGGTGTCTGCGCCGAGTTCCTTTATGACCCTTTTGCCGAGCTCATACTGGAGAATTTCATGCAGGCGACGAGAAGAGCGGAGACACGACGGCAGGGCAGAGCCGGGCAGGTGTGTAGCAATGAGAAGGATAAGCTCGACGGGGAGCAGGTCGGTGAAGTCGACTTTCGTCATGAGACAAAGCTGAGATACTTAGACAGCACTTGCCAGTGTGTGTGTCTGTGGTGGTCGCTTTGTCTAGGAGAATCAAATGTGACCTTTGGAGAGGGTCATCCTAAGCCTCAGGAGTCCGATGTCTCGATTTTCAAACCTGCACAAAGGCATCGGTGAAATCGTTTTTCCGGCCTCCCGCTCGGCCTAGTCCATTCTACAATCGTACCCGCCCTCGACAAATACCTGTCGTCCCCGCCAGACAGGAGGATGAATCAGCCTATCTTTCGTCGAGCGGGACGCGGCACACACCTGAGACCTCAAACGCAGCAAATGCGCTGGCCGCCGCAGGAATGCTTGTCAACACTACGGCGCTGCGTCAATTTTTCGCAAGAGCGGAGGAAAAAACGTACATGCCGACGTTGGGACCAGAAGTTGTGGCTGAGCCGTGGATGGTGGCTCGGAGCAAAGAACAACCGGCAATCAATCATTGTGTTTTACATCGATAGCCGCGCGTCACGCAGTGATACGATCAGACGTCAAACAAGCCTTGGTAACTCCAACTCTCGCAGATTGAAGCCGCTGACATTGTGGATTGCCAACGCAGACAGGTGTCGATGGGCCTGCCTATACTTGCGACAGTCGCCCTGCTAGCTGCCCCACAGCTCTCTTCTGCTGCTGATGCTGCCCCCGCCCCCAGTGCCCACCTGCTGCCCATCGCGATTCGGACACGTTTCGGCGGCGTGTCGTGGCGGATGGACTTCGCGCCACGCCGCACTTACCGTGATATCGCACTGTGCAACACCCGGTGCACCTGCCCGATATCAATGGTGGTGCATTTCCACTCGGAGGCAAGACCAGACTGACCAGTGACACCAAGTCCGAACTCTGAAGAGCGAGCAAATAGTCGCATCGTCTCAACATCGTCTGGCCAGTATGACGTATGGGAGTACATTGAGTATTGGTACAAACAGGAATTTACACAGGAATACAGGCTAAACACCAATATATCCTACAATTGCGCGACCTTCACACCTTTCTCGGCGATCACTTCGACACTTGGATGGGCACCCTTTGCAGCTACAACAGCTGCCTTCGGCTGGGTGCGCGTAAAGACGTCTTTGCCCAGCATCGTCGCCGCCCAGATCTTCTCGGGGGCACAACTCACGCCCAACAACCACTGCGTCGAAATGACGTCCTCCTCCGGCTTGGCACCCAAAAACAGTTGTCCCGCCCATGCGGTCGCCGCATGCGTGTCCCCATGTGTCGTGTTCTTCCATCCGACGTTCCACCCGAGCGACGCGCCTTCACCAGTTGGAGGAAACCGGTCGAACACGCCGACCAGCGGGTACGCCCCAAACGCGTCACCGACTTTCGAGTAGTACGTCCCGGTGATGTAGTCCGGCTCGACGCGGATTACCATGTGTGACCCCAACTCATTGTACCACGTGCCCTTCAGCCGGTTGTCCGCCACCACATCGGCCACGGCGCGCTCCCGGGCCGACGTCATGGTCGCATTGACCGTCGCCCGGCGGTACTCCACGCTGCCCACGTTCGGGCTCTCCCACGCGTCGCCCGGCCGCGTGCTCCCCGCGATAACCCATTGTGCCACGATGCGGTCCGCACCACCGGGCCGGATTGCCGGGAAGAACTGCGCGCTCCAAGATGTCGTCGCGTGCAGAAGGCCTTTCTCCGCGCGGCCCACGGCCGTCCACGCCGCTGCGTACCCGGCAGCCGGCCCGGCATCCGCCCGCGGCGTCGGGTCGATAATGCCGCCCACTTCGAAGGAGATGATGGCTGAGGTGCCAGGCACGGTTCCCGTCATGTCGCCCTCGATCGAGATGCCAATGACCGCCAGGGTAAGCGTATAGTCCACAGCGCCGAATGTAGACGCGGACACGGCGGTCCATGTGCCGGCCAGTCGTGTGTGGTTGGTGTCTACCTTTGCCTGTTGTGTGTCGCTCATCTTGTGTTGCAGGTTGTGAATGCTGGGTGGTGGTTTATAAGGCCCCTGCGAAGGTTTTTTTTTCGTTGCGACCTGCGACCGGGGACAGAAATTGAGCGCAAGGCTGTGTCCCTGACAGCGCGACGGCGGGTAGAATGTTGAGCAAATGACAAGCGTGCGCAACGCGGCGATGAAGTGTTCCCCACCGCAAGGATCCTTGAATTCCTTCGTGACCTGGCAATTCTCTCAACATTCACCATGCCAAAGTGCTGTCATTGACACTGCCTTACCCTCATTTCTCCCTCCGGTCACGATAATCAAGACAGTGCAGCTCGTGTATGCGCTTGCGGAGGGCGGCCCGGCGCCATGTCCGGGTCGTCCGGCTTCTACTCGAGTATGACGCGGATCCGAACGTAGAGGTCTATGGCGGGGCCACGATGCCGTACATGCTGCTCGGGCTGCCCGCGACCAACTCGGCCGAGGTGCGGAGGGCGCGCAAACATGCGCTGGCGCTGCTTCTTGCTTACGGCGTCGGGCAGCAGGCGACGCTGGACTACCTGCACAGGTCGGGCGGGCATCTCGGGCGTGTGCTGGGCGTCAAACAGGAGCTTTTTGCGGGATGCGTTTAGGGAAGCGGAGCGGGCAATCTCGAAGGTGATGAAGTCCTGAGTTGGTCCTTCTTCATTTGGTATAGGGGTGGACTTGGAGCACAATGTGGAATCCGATCCAACTTCCCAGATATCGAAGGACATTCTCTGGGTCTTCCAAGATAGGGCCCAGGCAGTGGGCCCAGAATTTCCGATATCGCCGCGGGCGGAAGTGCCTGCCGTCGCGACAAATTGCGAATAGTTGACGGTGTTCACTGCTGCCACTGACGCTCCCCCTTCTCTGCCATCTAGTTGGTACTGAGGCCTGGCGGGCGAATCGGATCCCGATGACCGCAAAGAGTCGGGCGTTGACCTCTTGTCCGGCCTCTTCTCCGAGGAGTGCAATGTTGAAGCCGCGGGTTGAGGTGGCCTGTTATGCTCCAACGGTGCGCTTCCGCTTCTTGCACCCTGGCCCGGGCGCGTATGTTGTCTTGAGATATGGATGTTGGGCTGTCGCGATCCCTCCGCTTTCCAGGAATGGTGCCGGCGAAAAACGTATAAAAGCCCCTGAACCCAACCATCGGCCGCCGCCCTCGACCGCACTACCACTCCCACTACCAGTTTTACACCCACCCCACCGAAATTAACCACCATGCGCTTCGCCACTACCATTTGTGCCGTCTTCGCCGCACTTGTCGTCAGCGTCAGCGCCACCCCCACCGTGCCCGCCTTGCAGGTGCGCCAGACGTGCTACCCGTCCACCTGTGTACGTACTGCAGTCCCTCCGCCGGCGTCCGCGCGCTAACGTCGTCGACAGGTGTGCAACGAGTCGGGCTGCACCAGCGGCCCCGCGTGCTGCGCGAACAGCAGCTGCCCCTGCTAAACGGGAATGAGAAGTGTTGGGGTGTCGAAATCGATTTCTACTTACGTGGCTTGTACGTGGCCCGAAAATCGAGGCGAGAATGTTATTTGTTGAGCGATGATTCGGTGAACTTCAAGTTGAACCGGAGCCTCAGCCTCAGCCTGGCTTCAGCCTCGGGCAGACTTCGCGTTCTCCTTTTTGCAAGTAATAAGCATTCTGCTAATCGTGCAATCGTGGCCATTGCCACTGGACAAAACTCACCCACCCGTCCTCGCAGCACACACCACCGCTGCGGCCCACGCCTCGACTTGACTGGACCATGTGCCATGGCCAAGAGATGATCGGCACCTGTGAGGAGAAGAAAAAAAAACGTAAGGGTGACATGCCGCTGCCGATAATCATGGTTAATTTAATGGTGATCTCTTGTTTGGCGCTTCGCGGCCTTCCAATTTGCTCCCGGACCGCTCTCGAGGGCGAATGCTGCAGGCTCCGTTTGCCGTCCACCTGCGAAAAAGCTACACAACAGCCACCGCGAGATCATCCTGCGCCAGCGTATATTGGCTCCAGCGCGGCTCTGACCCATCGCTCTCCGATCGCCGTCTTCCGTGTATGACTCGGACGGGAAAGGGAACGGGCGATCCCGTGATGGGTGATGATTCGCCGCCAAGTCCAACATGCCCGCGTGCTCCAGTCCCAAATCTCGACAAGTTTTAGTGTCTTTGGTATCTGCCCTGCGCATTCGTGCAACGTCTTGCAACGTCTTGCAACGTTTCGCAAAACGTTCGTCGACAAGAAGTGATTCTGGCAAGATGCTCCATCGCTCCATCGGCAATTCGCTTCCTCTTCTAGGGTTGCGCGGATCGTTCAGTGTTGATGCTGATCGATGCATATGATTCCCATGATGGACCGCATAAGCATTGCGCACCTATCGCCACAGTTGACACTAAAGACGCCATTGCCCTGACGTTTATACCACTGGGGCCCACGGTGACGTCTGTTTTCCTTCCGCGATAGAGCCTGCGACCTCCCACTACCGCCTTGAACCGGCAGCGCCTCGGGCATCACGGGGACACGATCGTCTCCAGGCGCTCATCTCGCGATCTTGGCGACGGTGTCGTCCCCGGGTAGTGCAACCTTGGCTTGTGCACGTCGAAAGGGCGGATGCCCGTTAATGGGAGGCATCCGGCGTGTTGCGTGACAACGCGGGCAATTAATTGGCCACCCCGTTGCAACTTGCTGGCTGCAGGCGATTGGCCCTAGCCCGACTTTTCTTCCGCATTTCATCTCTGGCATCAAAGGTCTCCAATGTTACGGCGCTTCGCAACGACACTTCCATTGTTGACTCTATTGGCGGCGACAGGCCTCCGGCTTGGGTCTTGGGCCCTCGGGTATCAGTGTGCTGCAGAGAGAAAACGTATAAAAGCCCATACCAAAGGTCGACCCAACCAACAGCCAATCCTACCACTTCCACTCCCACCAAACCACCCCAAGCTAACTAAACCACCATGCGTTTCGCCGCCGTCTTCGCCATCCTCGCCGCGCTCGCCGTCAGCGCCGCCGCGCAGAACTGCTACCCCTCTTACTGCGTACGCCCCTTCGTCTTCCACACTGATGGATGCTGACTTGTCGTAGCACTGCGGCGAGTCCGGCTGCTCGTCCGGCAGCCCCGCGTGCTGCGCCAACGGCAGCTGCCCCAACAGGGACTGCTAGACGTCGACCGTCGAACGGAGAAGCTCAACTTGAAGACGATGTGGTTGAAGGGAGTGCGGCCTTCGGATTTACATGTTGCCCCCCGAAAATCTAGAAATCACAATGCTATTTTGAGTCATGCGTCTTGACGCGAGTGGATTCGAGTACCAGAGGGCGCCAGAACAGCCAACTGTGACCCTTCGCTGTTTTGAGAAGTGAGGATTCCGAGGATCGTGCCTAGGCTGAACGAACTCACCAATGCCAGTGGTCCCTGCACACGCTCTCCTTGCAGTCGGGGAAGCTTATTAACCAGCTGTCAGAGCCCCTCCTTGGCTGATCACATTCGCTATACTCCTTCCGTAGCCAGCCTGAGCCGAGACGGAGGCGAATTCGCTTGGTTTTGAGCTGTTTTTTCGACGGGGGTTGCCAGGGGTTGCCAAGTGCCAGTGGTTGAGGAAAGGCTCGTCAATGAGCAATGCATGAAGTACGGCTAAACTGCTGCTAGCCACTAAAAGGGATGATGTTGATGTTTTGGTAGCCCGTTCACTAGCTCTGTTTTCGGGTGGAGAAGAAGGGCGGAGAAAACGACACGTCAGCGTGACATGATCGTGACACCCTTCTTTTTCTTGACCACGACTGGGAACCGGCAAGCATCCGCGCGTTATCCGGTGCCGGCGCTCATTTCACCTTCAGACCATGCTCCCGACCCCGAAGCCCCTTACCGCCATCGACATCGTCCGCCTGCGAAAAGAGGGGCCAAGTTGGCGCACTTGCCGAAACCCTATGCATTCGCGGCGACGGTGTTCTGCCCTGTTGACGAGTACGGCCGTCTGTGAGCGGTGACGGGACATGGCGATTTCCGACCACCGCCTGTGGACGACGGACTTGCTTTCGCATGAGATTCCTGGCGCTTGCTGGCGCTCGCACAGAAGTTGCCGACGACCATATTGCTACAGCAGACGGAGGAGGGCGATTATTACTCCACGCAAGAGCATCTCTTCGTATCTCTCCAACAACGGTGGTCCCCGTCGTTCATAATGCCGGCGCAACCTACAACTTGCCGCCGCCGATGAAGAAGCTGACGGTGGACATCGACGAACGATGGATCACCGCTGCGGCAAGACGTTTTCCAATGCGCCCACCAGCCCCTCCCCTCATACGCCACTTCAAGTTGTCTGTGCCCCGCCTCATGAAACCCCATCTTGTCCAATTCCACGACGCCCAGGCCGAGTGCTACGGTGGCGCGCACCTATGTAAGATGCATATGCCGCCATCGCCGTCATCCAGTTCCCAGCCATTGCGCCGTTAATGTGGAAATCCACAGTGCTCAACGAGGAGATCGATCGGTGGGAATACGAGGACTGGAAAAAAGAACATAGTTCCTTTCAATACTTAATGTGGCAAATCCCTTGGCGCTGTGTGGAGCCCATGTGTACGTTCCCAGGCTCATCTTCCGAATTTATTCAAGTTCCAAGTTCAATAAGACTACGTACGTATACACCGGCGTCACGCTACAGCACTGGGAATTCATTCGCTGGCTATCCATGATAGCCTCCCGCATTAACAGCTTTCGAATTTAGAATCCCGGGCCCCTTATAAGCCCGCAAGCCGGGAACAGCGGGTCCACCATGACTCACCGATGACTTCTTCCTCGTTCCGCGCTCTGCTAGGGCTGTCCTGCCTGAGTCGCATTTCTGCAAGTCCTCTGTGTGATGCCGCAAGGTGAGTCACTTCAGATTGCTCCTTGTACCTCTGTATGGGCTACGATAACGACCTCCACAGCCTTTACATTCGCTCCGGCCCGGGCTCAGGCGCCGGCTCCACGAACACCACCTCCATCGCACCCGTGATTATCGGCATCTTCGGCGGAATGGGTGCGCACGACCTTTAGCACGTACTGTATTGCACTGATCATATACGTCACATAGTCGGCCTCACAGTGCTCTTCGTCGTCCTCCGCGCCATCGCCCATAGCACGGCGAACCCACGGCCCGCACCGGTACCGACCGTGACACCGGCGCCGGTATCGACACCGGCCCTCTTCCAACAGCTGCCACCGTACACTACCAGGCCGGGGGGCTTGCGCCGGGTGCGCACGCTTGATGAGATTGACGAGCCCGCCGGCCCGTCACCGGGGCGGCCACCAGAGCCGGCGGTGCTACCCTCGGTCCGGACTCGGCCTTCCGGCCCGGGGTCGCCGCCGCCGGACCCAGCCGACGCACAGGCGGTGCAGTCACCAGCGCTCCCTCCGCCTTACAGCGTATAGCGGTGTAGCGACTCGACTGAAGTGGTCACACGAGGAGGCTTTTGTGTCTGCAGATGCTTGGTTACCAGTAACTCACTGAGACTGCCGCATATAAACGATCCCGTGGAGTCGCCCCACGTTCTGACTCGAGTCTGCATTGAGATGTGAGACATGTGTGCAGCTTCTATAGACCGGAGTTGATATTACTCTCGTGCGGGATTGGCCTCGGCAAACCTCAAAACAACGACAGAAATGGAATAGGATCCGCGCCGGTCGCAGCGATCAGTGATCGACGCCCTGCTCTAGCAACGGGAGCGGGAGGCGCATGTCTGCGCATGGCGGCAAATCATCAATGTCGTTGGTTCCGATTAGCCGACAGCCGAGAGCTGGTTACAGGGGGAGCAAGGGAGCAGAGTCAGAACAAGTTGAACCGAGTAAGGAGACGCCAGTTGGCAGTGGGGCTGCTGGCATGATTAGCGGATCGGAATACGTGGCCCTGGCCAACAACTCATTGTGGCCAAGCCACAGCGCTGACCAGGCGGCGTCCCCGGGTCTGGAGTACGTACGCTCCACTTAAAGAGTGAAGTTAAACTTAGACGTGCCCCAAAATTGCCAACACTGAAGCGAATAGCATTGTAGTTTTCCGAGTCCACTCCGCGGTACATGAACAGCGACCACACATAAGACTCCACACCCGATCTCCGGTCTTCGGTGTGCGAGACGGTCGACGTCTAGCAGGGGCAGCTGCCGTTGGCGCAGCACGCAGGGCTGTCGGGGGAGCAGCTGGACTCGCCGCAGTGCTAAGGACATGGTCAGCGACAGCACAAAGCATGGGGGGAAGACGTACGCAGTAGTCGGGGTAGCAGCGACCCTCCTGAACGTGGACGGCGGTGGCACCGGCGACAAGGGCGGCGAGGATGGTGAAGACGGTGGCGAAACGCATGGTAGTTCGTAAAAGGTTTTGGGGTGGTAGTAGTAGAGCGGGTGAGTGTTGGAAGGAGAGAGAGGCAGCAAGCTTGCGTTTTTATACGTTTTTGCGTGGGTCACACTTACACAATTACTCCGGCACGTGCGTGGGCAGCGAGCAGCATCGGAGCATCGCGGCATCGCGCCAGGGTGCGGTCGTTACGCGACGTCGAAGAAATACCATAACGAGAGTGCTAGCTCCGCGAAGCTGATGCGGTGAAATCACTGAAATGTTGCGCGGTGAAAAGTCGACAAGAGCGGTCAGCACGCGCACGTTGAGAGCTGTTGGAAGGCAACAGTGGCGTTCGCGGCAGCGTGCTGCGTCCTAAAGCGGACGACGGTGATGCGCAACTTGACTCTCCTTTCCAGCGCTGCGGGTCCCGAGTCCCGACGGTAAAACGGTTAGACGCGTGTCGATCGATGTCAGTGTCGTTACGACGCCCATCAGATGGCACTGGGATCTGCGCATTCGGTCAACGTCCTCCTGTCGTGCGGTGGAAATGCGGTGGGGGTTTTCAGCTGTGCACGGCGGCGGATGTGCACCCCATTCTATTCGCGTGGGGCTGCGTGGCCCACATTGAAAGAGAAGCGAAGCCGGGAGGGTCGGCAGGGCGATACGTGTGCCTGGTGTCAAGCGGGCACTGTGGCCCGTGCGAGTGCGACCAATGACCATGGTGGGGGAGTCCGCGCGGGCGAGGCGGAGGTCAAGGGCTTATATACGCTCTCTCTGAGATTGCGCCTTCACTGCTCACCGTGGCGAGATCTGTCGGCCCAACTCATCATTTGTGACTCGTGAGGGGATCGTCAATTGATAGAACATGTTGATATGATTGTCGATTAGCGAACAATCGTTTAATTTGCCCGACGCGGACCAGATGAGAACTTCAACTTGAAGAAAAAGAAAGGCGGACTGGGAGTACTGGCAGAGTGGTGGATCTTCCAAGTTCCAGCGGCTAGAAGTTATCAAATCCGGATGGGAGGAGCAATAAAACATTGTTCGGGGGCTTCTGGCATATCAGAGTCCTGAATGGGATCGACCGTCGACGATCTTCTGTGGACACTTGGCGTTTACGCCAAGCAAAGGATGCGACTATTTTTGACTTTTTTGGCCGATAGTGGGGGTGTTACTTTGGTGTTACTTCTCGAAATCTTCATATTCCCACCGCTTCATCCACGCCGGACGCCCCTGGGGCATTCGGACACAGACCTTCGAGTGTCGCTGCAAGTCTATCAAGTCCCGCATCTCCTCTTCCCGCATCTCATATGGCGTCAGCTCCATGACAAACTGCAGCGGCCTCTCCAGCCCCTCCCTTAGTAAATTTGCTGCGCGTGTCCGCACCGCATCTAGAAACGGACGGACGGTGATGGGCAGCGGATCGGCGGCGGGGACGACGACGGTGAACGACTCCAGGACGGGTAGAGCAGTGGGCTGCGCGCAATGGCTGACGAATACCGCATGCTCGTAGTCCTTCACGTGGAAGCGTGTGATCGTGAGCGTCTTGAGCGTCGGACCGACCGATGGGGATTCTAGGACAGCGACGGCGGCTGGGGCGTTGGTGCGCGCCATCGAAAGCGTGGTGACCATTGTCATGGACCGCTGTAAACAGGGCACAACGTAGAATCTGGCCTCGTCCTCGTCGAACTGTGCCAGATGGAGATTTGTCAGGGTGGGTAGTGTAAGGTGGCGCATAAACATGGTGCTGTCTTCGCCGAGCAGTGAGAGCGTTGAGATCAAGGGAAGGTTTAGATGGGCATCGCTTAGCCATCCGGGCTCATCCTCCAACCAAATTCTGTTCAGCGATAGTTCTTCAAGGCACTTCATCTCTGGCAGTATGGAGAGGAGTTCAATCAGCGTCGACGGGCGGGTGATAGTAAGTGTGCGGAGTTGATGTCGAGGGATGCCAAGGTGGGTGATGAGGACGAGCAAGCCGACGGATAGTTCCCGCAGACAGGGAGCATTCGAAAACGTTTTGCGGTGGCGGTCATCCGTCGTGCTTATGTCCGGTCTCAGCTTTGTCAGCTGCGGAAAGTTGTATTGTGTATCGGTCGTGACCGTCATGAGGCATGACGCGGCCAAATCCGCCTCCCTCCACTGTTCAGAGGATAAGAAGAGGCTCTCCGGGGTGTCCAGCATTGGCAGCCTGTCATCCTCCTCCTCCTCCCTCAGCTGGACTGATATGGTCGTCGGCAACCCCTGAGCGCGCGCTCGGAAATGCTCAAACAGCGCATCACGATGATAGTAGACGCGGAAGCAAGTCGTCGTCCACAGCCGGGGGTCGCCAATAGCAGTCTCCCGCCAGCGTTGGCAGACAGCCGTAATCGTCAACAGGGCACGATTGACCTCTCTCCGTTCAGACAAAGACACCGTCGCCGCGAATATGTGGCACAGAATTTCGGCAGGGAGCGTGTTGACAGGATAAGCCACAGTCTGGAGCTCCTCGTGTATCTTTTCCCGGAGGGTCTTCAAGTGCGCCAGCTCGGCCTGCAGGCGTAAAATCGATTCTTCAATCTCCACCCCCTCTTTTCGCAAGCGGACGATGTCGGAGGAAGTGAGGGGAATCGAGGTCGGAAGCATGGCCATGACCTGAAGATGAAATGAGCGCTGGCGCCGGATGACGCGCGGATGCTTGCCGGTCGTGAGTGGTCAAGAAGGAGAAGCGGCGATGGGTGTCACGAGCAGTCACGATCATGTATCATGCAGAGCTCGCATAGTGGCGTGGCCGAATGGCGTGCGCCCGCCAAACGCCGGCGTGCACGCCACTGATGGTGGTGGCGTGGCGTGTGATGGCGTGGGACACTCCCGGAGGGTTCTCTCTGTTGTTCATTGCCGTTCACGGTGTTCCTCGGTGTGTCCCACTGGCTGTAGGAATTTCCCAGAAAGCTGCTTACTACGATTCCGGTGTCGTCGACCGGTGTGCTCCGGCCATCCCGGCATCCACCGGCGAGGCCACCCTATGCTTCACCGTACGCAATAGGGCGTCTCAGAAGCCATTCTGAGACACCTTGTGTCATACACAGGCGTCGCGTGCTGAGTACCACCGGCCGGGCCCGCGGAGCTCCTCCGGAGTTCATTTGGTGGTGCTCCGTTGCTCCAGCGCGCGTCGTCGGGCAGGTCATCGTACCCATGACAGCCATAACCGGGGACCCTCCACCTCTGAGTGGCGGCCGGCCGGCCGCATTGGAGCCTGTCGACCGGACTCCGGTCGAGTTGCACGCAAGCTGGTGTGCAGTGGTTGCTGTGCTCGTCGTCGGCTTCCTGAGACACATCCTGACCGACGCGACTGTCGATCTTAGTCCAGGCGTTGACTACTGGTCACGGTGCACGCCGCAGAGTCTTGCTACAGTCAGCAGTTATGCGGCGACCCCGTTCGATTGCCGTCATCCTGAAAGAACTGCCGCTTGCGTTATTCACCTGTGCGCCCACGCCGCTGTCTTCGTGAGGACGGACGGCCGGCCGAAACCCCTGACATGGCTGCCAGCAGCAAGCCAGCGGTGAGTCGCCGGTGACCTGAAAGCCGCGATGGGATGTTAGATGACACTTATTTACAGTATTTGGGGCTTCCTTGACGCTTATATGTTGAGTTATACCTCAAAGCAACCCAAAAGCCATACAAGCCAACGCCAAAATGTCTGGCGTGCCAAGCCGACAGAATGGCGTTGACGCCTGATGGGCGGGCGTTGGCTTTGATCGCCAGCCAAACGCCACTCCCACGCCACGCCACGCCACTTGGCGCTGGTGCACGCCATTCGGCCACGCCAAAACGATAGCTCTCTGTATCATGTCATGATCGTGACTGCTCGTTACGTGTCTTTTTTCTTTCGCCCAGCGCGGTGAATGGGCTGCCACTCAGTGTCTATACTAGTAGCTGCTGAAAGCGGAATGGTACTCATGCTTATCCTGATTGACGAGCCTTTCCTCAACTTGCCCAGATACTCTTTAAAGCCCATGCCCCACTGCCAGCAAGCTGAGGTTGGAACTTGGCCGCCGCCGCTTTCTCCATCCCACGTTTTCGTCTTCAAATTCATACGCACGGAGACGATAATTCAGGGTCAAGAGGGACAACTGACAAGGAAGTAGGCTGTAGCCGCAATCGAGCAAAGAGAGCGTGTGGAGGAACCTGAGTGGTGAGTTCAGTTGAGCACGATCCTCGAGATTCTCACTTGCGAAAGGCCTGAAGGCTCACAGCTCTCTGTCCATGGGTCATTTGCTCTGGTCTTCATTGTTCTCCTGGGTTATTTCCCCGAACGCGAACCGCTGCCGCGACTCTTCAAGTTGACTTGATTCGGACTTGACGCTGCGCCCCTCAGGCTCAGGCTGAGAATGCGTGGAGAGTCGTCATGTGTCATTTCTCACTGGAAAGCAGGCTGCCTTCGCGGCGCCTCAATTCAAGCTCGCGCCACAAACGTATGTCACTCGTCCAATAAGTACTGCAACAAACAGCGTTTTTATTTCAGATTTCAAGTTTTCCGGTCCACATATCACAATCCGACTCTCCACTCCAATAATATCATCTAGGATCTCCTCAGCCAGGCGGTCGACGTCTAGCAGTCGGAGTTGGGGCAGCTGCCGTTGGCGCAGCACGCGGGGCTGCTGGACGAGCAGCCGGACTCGCCGCAGTTCTGACAATGGTTAGCGCAAGAACGCCCTTGGAAAGCGAGAAGGAGCATACGCAGTAGGAGGGGTAGCAGTTCTGCGCGGCGGCGCTGACGGCGAGAGCAGCGAGGATGGCGAAGACGGCAGCGAAACGCATGGTGGTTTAGTGAGTTTGGGAAGGGGTGGGTTTGGTGGTTGGTGGGTGTAGTGGGTTTGTAGTAGAGGTGGTTGTTGGTTGGTTCGACACCTGGGGCGGGCTTTTATACGTTTTTGTGGGTGCACCTCAAGTCGACCCCGTCTCCGCGTCAACGCAGCATCAATCGTGCGCCAGGGTGCTAGAAGCCGGAAGCGCAAGTTGCGAGCCTACGCATGACGGCACGCGAACGCTGTTTCGAAGACGACGCGCGGTCTTTTGAGAGATCAAATGCGGATGAGCGTATTTGCGTTCAAGCCAGGGTCTACGAGCTGCCAGCGACGCCGGCAAGAGCTCCAGCAACGGGGGCGGCCAAGACGGCGTTCCTACGCAACTGGCGGGTCACCGGATGCGCGCTCTGCCGTTTATGGGCGTCCCCCTTTCCACCTCGAGCGCACTACCCAGAGAAGCACCTTGAAGGCAACGCAAGCCAGGGTCTTGTCGGCAGGCAGAAAGATAAGCGCGCTTAGAGATGATGTGCCCATCATGATAGCACCGTGGCCATCTTCAAGGTGGTGCGAGGCGGCCACGGAGTGGGGCTTATTTTTCGCGCGCGCCCCGCGGTGATCAAGGGGCTATGACTGTCGGGCTGGGCTTTGGCCGTCTATCGTGGTGATACTTGAGCTGGCACAGTTGATCAGCTATTGCTATCACCGATCACACGCAGTTGCCATCCGGTGTCCCTAATCCAAGGGGGGTGTCACGTGTCAAAAGTGACAACAGGGATGTCCCGCCTCCGGACTTAAATTTTTTTCTGTATAAACTTTTTGGCTAAAAATAGTCAAAGTTACTTTAGGATGGGTTATAAGTACTGCTTGGTGCACTATATATCCATAAATGAGTATTAACAATCTCATAAGAGGTTTTTCTTCAGCATCTCATAATTAGATAGGAGATTGCATCAAATTAGGCCATATGGGAAAGGATGTCTGTAGTCTGTAGTAAGATTTATAAGACATGACTACATTGAGACCTATTCTACAAGATATATGAATAGGTAGGATTCTGTTAATGTTCTTGAAATTTGAACGATTGGCCAAGGATGGACTGAATTTGATGCTATCAGATCACATGACTCTGTGATTTACTTGCCCAATATGGCAATACCATGTCACAGTCACGGTCGGTGGGTCCCCTGGGAAGCCTTAAACAAAAAGTCCAATGTATGTTGCTCTTTTTTTCTGATACCCCCTTGCCCTAATCAGCAGAGAAAACCTGTTGGCATTGTAGATAGGACAGAGGAATAGTTAGTCGTGGTACCTGGAGAGCATCGTGATTGGTCCAGGTTCCAAGAATGCAGTGGGGCAATTGGGATAGTAATAATTCTTGGGTGATCACTGATTGTTACACTATAGGACCTCATATTCTTGTTCATATTACTATTGCTTCGCAATGACATGGGTAGGCCATATCTGCGTGGATATGTAGGTTTTACCCATGTGGGTATGGGTACGGGTCAGCACAGAACCTACCTGTGCCTTGATGACTCAGCTGAATTCACTCACTGACTTGGTCAAGAGGCCCTGTATTTGACTTCTGTTATATCCGTGCCGACTCCGGCATTCGATTCCGATATCCAATTCCGGTATTTGGTTTTTACACAATGAAGGTTTACTGAGCGTTTCCAATTATAATCTATGCAATCATCTATGCCTTGTTCCTCGTATGCAACTCCTCTTCTACTTTACTTGACTTTGTTCTAATCTCATTACTTACTTTGTTATACCTTATTGCATTTCCGTTACTTCTCGTACTATAAATACCTTGATGTACTATCACTACCTTCATCATGTAAAAACCCTGTTGTGCTCCAAGGATAGATGCATAGGATATAACAAATATGTTCACCTCCCATCAATGACCTGATAATGGGCAGAGAGCTATCCAAGCTTATGGGCCTGAAAGTATATATATAAGTATGGAGGTTGTGAACTATGGAAATTAGAGTGTATATACCATATTTTCAGTGTCTTTACACCCATATAAGGCTCAAATCTTTTATATAGCAAAAGTTTATTCTACCCCCTGGGCTGTGTGGGGCAACAGGCCAGCCATAAGTTTCCGCATCGACAGCCCAGCAAAAGAGACTTGCGCGAAAAACAGTTAGGATCTTTCAGACAAAGTCATCTGTCACAGAAAAAATTCTAAACTTTCTTTTCCCATTAAAACATGAATACTTCTTTCCATAAAGAAGAAATATCATATATCTGAATTCAAATGAATATTTGTTTTTCAAATCTCTCTTTCAGCAAAAACTGAATTGTCAATTGAAAGTTTATCTTTTCAATGAATATTTGTATGCCTGTTTCTTTGTAGCAGAAGCAACATATTTTATATTTTCCACAAAAAAGATGTTTATGTTCATGTCAATGAAAACAACATCTTTATATTTTTTGCAGAAAGGACATCATTTGTTTTCCCTTTCATACAAGAACAAAGGGCATCTTCCTGAAAAAGTCAGAAAGATGATATTTCCTTTCCCCTTTCATGCAAGCAGAAAGCACACCTTTCTTCTTTTCCTGAAAGATGTGCTTTCAATCTGCTATCAAAGGTGTATATAAAGAAGATTTTTCAGAAAATGGCAGAAATATGTTCTTTTAAACAACAAATAAAACAACTTATTTCAAGTTATGAAATGAGCAGAAATATTGCACAGAAAGGGGGATTGAAAGCCATATGGAAAGGTCAGCTTTCCAATAACTTTTCTATCCCTGTCAAAGACATTCCTTTTGTTCTCACAGAAGGCTTGATAAAGAATAGACATAAGGGTCTGCCTGCTAGGGCGCCAACTATATACTGGTTGTCTGTGACTGCCAACATAGAGCACAGAAGAGCTGGGTGGTGTCGCAGGCTCTGTTCTAAGGTGATCGTTGGGAGGGTCTTGATGGATTGGTGATTGTGCAGTGAAAGAGGCCGTGGGCGATGGTCGGGATGGGTTGGAACGTCCGAGGGGGCGCTGATCAGATGCGCCTCGGATGCACTTCGAAGGTTTGAAGGAGGCTGAAGTGGGGGTTCCCCTGACATATATCATATGTCTTGTCTATGGGATTATATATATATGTGTACATTTAATACATGTTTAAAAGGGAAGAGAAATTTTTGAATTTCCCATGTGTGTATAGCCCTTTTTATAGAGCCACACAGTCCGTTGTTTGAAATCCTCGCTAATCTGGTGATAGACCATCCAGTGAACAAGTGGTGCAAGATTGAGATAGTCGTGCGGCTCACGGCTCCGGACCGATCCCAAATGGGGCCCAGCTACTCAAAATGGCAATTGCATATCGCCGGCATCAACTCAAAAAAAATATATGACAAAATTTGTACAAGTCTCAACGTTTTCGGAAAGTGCTGTAACGATCAAGCAGGCTTCGCACTCCCCTCAAGACAAATAGCACGATGATCACGATGATGGTCGTCTTGAAATTTCTGGGCCACAGATACATTACAATCACTTAAAACAGTCCACTCGCATGTGCTAATGATCTTCGTGGCCAACTTGACATGATCGACATCCACTAGGCGCAGTCCTTGTTGGGGCAGCTGCTGGTCAGGCAGCACGGGGGGCTGAAGGACGAGCAGCCGGACGCGTCACAGTTCTGCGATATGTCAGCACTTAGCGTGAAAGAAGAAGCCTGAGCGGGCGTACGCAGTAGGGGCCGTAGCAGTTCTGCGCGGCGGCGCTGACGACGAGAGCGGCAAGGACGGCGAAAACGGTGGAAAAACGCATGGTGGTTCAACGGGTTGGGTGGTTGGTGTCTGGGGTGGTGCCCTTTGGCGCAGCTTATATATGTTTTTTGCACAAAGCCAATCCCGCCACCGCGGCATCAACAGTGCGCCAGGCCTACATAGGGTGCGTTGTGCGCGTGTGCGGGTCACCGGATGGCTGGCCGCCCGTTTCGACTAGCACAGGGAGAAGCTGTCGAGCGCCCAGGCGATGATCTGCCGGTAATATCCTCAGGCTCCGCAGTCTATGCTTCTATTGACTCCATTTCGATAGCTGTCGGGACTTGGTCGGGAGTCGCGACTGCAACTACATAGACAGAGGGAAGTTCCACAACAGCCCCCAGGAAGCAAAGCAGGAAGAATGCGCTCAGATGGGGAGCTCTTCCGAAGCCTCTTCGGCACCGTGCTGCGAAAGATTGGATATGCTGGTGAGGGAATGGGGCGGAAGAAACGCAGGCACGCAGGGTTATAAACGTCGCACTGGCGATGGCGTCTTTACTGTCGAGGGTGGCGAGCTGCGGCGCATCAGCTTGCGGATTGACTGGACAGGGACATCTTGTGATCGACGGAGTCTGGACTCTGAGGCACTTCCGGCATGACGTAGTTGCATTGCAATCCCTCAACCAAGCAACAACCAAGCCACGGACTTGTGCCCGGGTCCCCGCAAAGAACCACGTTTTCACCGCCCCATCACGTCGGGGATTGCCCGCTCTGCCTCCCTAAACGCATCCCGCACCTTCTGTCGGGCGCGGTCCGGCTCGACACCAAAGACACGGCCGAGATGCCCGCGCCACTTGCGCAGGTAGTCCATCGTTGCCTGCCGGCCGACGCCGTAAGCGAGCAGCAATGCCAGCGCATGTGTGCGTGCCGTCTGCACCTCGGCCGAGTTCGTCGCCGGAAGCTCCAGAAGCAGGTACGGCATTGGCCTGTCGTGATACTCGAAGTTCGGGTCTGCACCGTAGTCAAGAAGGAGTCGGATGACCCGAACATCAGGCGCTGGGCTGCACGCCGTCAGGGCATAAACAAGGGCCGGCCCGTGGTCCCCGCTGATCGCCGGATCCGCGCCGCGCTCTAGCAAATACTCCACTAGCGCGGGGTTGCCAGCGGCACATGCTGCGTGGAGAAAGGGCTCGTGGCGGTTCTTGCGGCGGTTGATGTCAACGCCACGCGCGAGCAGCACGTCCATGACAGCGAAGTGCAGCCCGTCGGAAGCGCGGTGGAAAGGCGTGACATTGCCTGTGGGCGTTGTCCAGATTGCATCGGCTTCCGCGTCTGCAGCCAGAAGTGCATGAACGATATCAAGGCTTCCGGCGCCCGCGGCGGCATGTAATGGGGTCTGTGTTCGCGCGGGGTAGTCCGTCTGAGGGTGGACGCCGAATGGAGACTTTAAAAGTCGTTCCACGATGACAGTGTTGGAGGTACCTGCCGCCCACAACAGGACCTCCACCCGACGTTCGAAGAGCCGCTTATGAAGCTCGGGCCGGATCAGGTGGTACGCAGGCCAGTACGTTTGTGCCAGCGCGTTCATGGCCGCTGTACTGGACAGGTGGGCGGCAATGAGCAGGACGAGCTCAGGCGGGAGGGAGGTGAAGCTGGCCATGGGGGTCGAAAGCAAAACAGTGGTGTCAATTAATAAGTAGCGGCTATGACGTGGCATTGGCAGATGGCCGCTCACGTTTAACGCGGGTTTCGCCATCAGCGGTAATAACTTGGAGTTGGATGTTCTCGTGCATACGGTCAGACATAGTATGACTCGGACTACGGCGCCCACGCATGAGCGAGGCCGAGTGGGGCGAATCTGATTCAGCCGCCTGACATGATCAGCATCACGTCATCACCTGTCATCACTTTTTTCCCCTTCCCCAATCGCCCTTCCCTCTACCTCGAAGCTGGAGACGACCACTGGAACGAGCTGCTTACACAGTGCAGCATTGGCAGCGGCACTGCCGACGTCGGCTGCTCCTCTATCGAGTCGGCCAACTGCCTGCCACCCTTATTCGTCATGCAGGGATTTCGTAGAAGACACGTTCCGGGTGGACGTCCTACGTTTGAGTGCTTCCAACTCTTTTGGCAGAACTTCAACCTTACGAGCCCTTCAGCCCCTTCTTGAGTAAAGCTTCAGACTGTTCGCGTTTCGCCGATTACACGAAATGCTCCTGACGATGACGTGTCACGGTCCTCACGAATACCTCTCATTCTTCCGCAACACATTTCAATGTCCTCCCATATCCCCGTCGAGATTCTCTGCGAAATCTTCGAACACTACATTCCTCCCTATCCCGAATGCCCGCCGTTGCTCGGTCCCGGCTCGCCAGCAAATCTCGCCCAGGTTTGCGCGCGGTGGCGCAGCATCGCCCTCGACGTATGCTGGCTCTGGCGGGCAATCGAGCTCGACTTGGATCCCTGGCGTTCCTCCCTCTCAATGTCGACCATTCCTACCCTCTGCGAGATGGCCAAAACCTCCCTGGCGCGTTCTGGTCCGCTCCCACTCTCGATCATCTTTCGCTGCCCGCCGTCCGTTAAGGAGTCAGTCTTGTCTCTCGCGTTCGGAATTCTTCTCGCCCATTGCGCAAGATGGCAACATGCCAGCATAACTATCCCTGCGGCTCTGTCGCTCGAAGAACGCTATGACGACGAGCCCCGCGACATGCCGCTTCTCCGCCAGCTCCAGATTCGCGCCGCGGACGGTCTTGCTGAACATGACCTGCTCTTTCTGCGCGCTCCTCAAATCCAGACGCTCGGAGTTCGTTTCACCAGCCACCCATTTGCTGTCGCAGACTTATTCGCATCGTACGCCTGGAAGCAACTGACGACCCTTAAATTGGACAGAACCTCTGTCGACTACGCAGCTGCGGTGCTGCCGCTTACCCCGGCACTCGAGCGCTGCTGGCTGCAGATCTGGCAACGTCCCGACAATCTGCGCTGGCCGCCCACATTCTCGCCTATCCATCTGCCCAAGTTGAAGACGTTCATTATCGACGCAACGAAGGTACCAGGGGCCAAAACAGCAAAGGAGGCGAACCGGCTGCTCGACGTACTCGTCCTCCCCACCCTGCACTGTCTCGCCATCGCCGACTCGTTCGTCGCTGCTCTTTCCCACGCTGGCCCCGGTATGCATGCGGCTTATCTAGATGCCCTCGCGTTCCTCGTCCAGCGGTGGGGCTGCTTCACGTCGCTTGAAAAGATGTCCATTTTGCACTGGCCAGAGAAAAACAAGATCACGCGCGGCGACATTATGGCGGCATTGCCCTCAGTTACGCATCTCGAGCTTGATCAAATGGCAAATACTACTGCAGGCCAGTGGCGCCCCGCTGCAGAGGATTTTGATTGTCGGAGCGTTGAGCCGGTGGAGTGGTAGTGTGCATGTCGCCTGGTCTCATACAAGTACTGTTGTGTTTCCTCCAATTTGAGAACCAAATAGGATTTTTCTTGACTTGTTTCTCTGGACTCCCTTCATAGTTATCAGAAAAAAAATGAAATTACTTATCACATATTGCTGACTTTGAAAGTGGAATTATGTCCAGACCACAAGTTATCCACTTCCAAATCAGATACCCTGATTAAATTCAGCTTATATGTATACAAAATGGAGCCATTATAACTCCAAGCCAATAGTATAATTATATACTAGACAGGGCTGGGGCTACACCCCAGCTTTAAACTTGAATGTTGCTTGAATAGCATGAATTTCTAAAATAAGAACATTACCACTAACTGAGGGATGGCACACAGATACCCAATGGCCTTCTTAAATATCTGTTGTTAGTATAAGTATGTCAAGTGCAACCCAAGTCACTAAACTTTGTGTACTATTTGAAATAGTACACATTTCTCAATTTGTGAGCAATTTGAGAATATTTACTTGTAAATAACCTCAGATACAACTTGTTCACAGTACTGGGTGCAAGACATCACTTACAGCTTTGCGTCCCAATTAGGATTGGTCACATTTTACAGCTTTTCTTCCCAATTTAGGACTTTAATAGCAGTGGCCCCAAAAATAGAAGTGTGGAGCAAAGCCAATGCCAAACATGTGCACACATTTCCACGACATCTGCTTAATATAAGAGTAATCCCTAGCACCTGTGTGACTGTCGGGAGTAGTGCTAGCCAAATACAATTATATTATGTTTGAGAGATAATATATTATAATCATATCATATTCAGAGCCTGACCACAATAATAGATTTGTAGTATAGTATAATCATATTCAGGTACAAAAAATATGGTTATGTTATGAATATATTCAACTATAATTTAGTATGATTATCTTCACATAAATTTGACTAAGTTGCCACAGGGCCTGAGGGAAATTTGCTAGACTGTAAGGGACCCTTGCAGGCCTCTTTAATTTCCTCTGGACCTACAGAAAATACAATCAGGGGCATTACTCCAAGGATTAAGTTGTCCAGTGCCTAATAGAAACTGTCCTACACTATGTTTGGTAGAGTGATTTCAAATTTGACAGTGATGAGTATTGAAACTCATTTCTACTATAGTAGTAGTAATGTATTGTTCCATGGAATAACTATATGATGGATCAGGTATGATATTAATTTAAAGTGTGTGACTGTATGTCTAGATCAGACTAAGTTTAGTCATATTAGTAGGCACATGAATTAGAAAATGGCTATCATAATCGACCTTACTATATTTGAATATTCTGTGGCTATAATATAGTATAATCATAACATAATATAATATATTCAAATAATCATATTTGTCACAAACAATACCAATTCAGAGGATGCCAGTTGGCCAGTGAAGGCAAGCAAGAAGCACTGTGAAAAGATATCGTAAAGATGATGCAATTCGAAGACTGAGGTACAAGACGAAATCTACTCTACTTATATACACTACTACTATGTGTTTACCATGCCTAATACAAGAGGCAATGACGTCATACTTTAGCCATGCCTTTATGTGCTGTTTGCCTCATGTCCAACTCCATGCTGTTAATCAACATCAGCATCAACATCTAATGATCCAATCACCATCTTATCGTCCATCTTATCTCCTCCTTGTCTTATCTTATCAACCAGGGCCAAAATAAAAGGTTTAAAGGGCAAAGAAAAAGGGTTTTTGAACCCAGGGTTTGACAATATTCAAGTGATTGACCAAAGACATAATATATTCATAATATTCTGAATATATCCAATATTCAATCAATAATAATATAATTCTGGTCAGCACTAGTTGGGAGGGTCTTGACGGATTGGTAATTGTGTGGGTGAAGAAGGCTATTGTCAGGGGACCCCCGCTTCGGCCTCCTTCGGACCCTCCGAACGCATCCGAGGCGCATCCGACCGGCGCCCCCTCGGACGCTCCGACCCACCCCGACCATCGTCCACGGCCTCCTTCGCCCGCACAATCACCGATCCGTCAAGACCCTCCCAACGATCACCTTGGGACAGAGCCTGCGACGCCGCTCAGGCCTTCTGCGCTCTACGTCGGCAGTTACGGACGACCAGTATATAGTTGGCGCCCTAGCAGGCGGACCCTTAGAGTTTCTTCTCTTTGGATCCTCCCCTGCTAGGTCGGTCCCTCCGTGTATTTCCTGTAGTCTTATTCACGCTTTGGATCCTCCCCTGCTAGGCTTTCGTCGGAGTCTCCAGGGTTGCCCTTACAGCAGAAGAAACTCTCTACGGGATTAACCGGTCAAGATTGCCAGGTTTGGTGCTGACTCAGGCTCGGAGTACGAGTCCGTACCCCCCTCGTCACCGCCCCTGCCACTTGACCCCTCCTCCTCTGCTCTTGTCGTCTTTACACCCGCTATGTCTACCGGAGCTGCTCCGGACGCTGACGCGCGCATGGACGCACTTGAGGCGAAACTAGACAACCTCACCAATATCCTCACCCACCTTGCTTCCCAGGCTTCCGCTGCCGCACCACCTCCGGCAGCTCCCGAACCGCCTTCGGCATCTCCGAATGCCCCCGACGCGGATGCGTTATTTGGTGACATTACTGTCGCCTCAAAACTGGTCTTACGACCAAACCCCCCGTTTGCGTTTAACGGAGATTGCAAACGCGGCCGCGCCTTCCTATACGCGGTCAAAACCTACACTCGGCTTGCCCCGGAGGCCTTCGTAGTTAACGGAGAGCCGAGCGAAGAAAAGGCCGTCCGCTACGCCATGTCCTATATGGCGGAGGGACCTGCTCAGCAATGGGCAGAGCGTCATGGGAGCAAAAACCCCTTCCCCTTCCCTCGGTGGAGCCAGTTCCTCTCCGAGTTTCGCCTTCGGTTCGTCGAGGAGAACGAACAGGACCTCGCGCTCGCTAAGTTGGAAAGCGCGGGTTATCACATGGGAACGCGGGATGTCTACGGATATACCGACGACTCACCCTATATAGCTCATTCTTTGCAAAAGATGTGGGCTGAGCTGCAAGACTCTAATGCAAAAGATGTGAAACAGGGTTTAATTATTGAATTTCTCAATGGAATTGAAAGATATGACTAAGCTAAAAATTGATATAGTCATATAAATCACCTTTTCTTCAGGCCGAATACTCGTAGGGTAATACTTTGGACTTATGTGGCAGAAATAAGAAAATAAATTCAGAGATTAAGTAAGACTGATGTGGCATCACCTGGTCATTAGATCTAGTGATGGCAATCAAAAATCGTTCCACATTAGGTAATATTATCTAAATGTACTGATCCCATCAATCAAAACCCGCCAGAGGGCTTATAAGTAATTATTTTATTGCTTGTAAGTTTTTCTTTGGGCACTTGCCCTCATCTTTTGCATTACAGCCTTGCAGCTCAGCCCTCATCTTTTGCAAAGATACAGCTATATGAGCTGGACGACTTCGAGGACTTGATGGACCTCGCTGGCTTCGAAGACGCGTTGGTTAAGGTAACCAAGTACCGCCACGGACTTGACCCCTTGATCAACAACGGCATCACCTCTTCGAACGACCCCCCAGACCTCCGTGACTATCTGGGCTGGCGCACTCGGGCTTTCCGACAATATGAAGCCCTGGTGCGAGCGAAGCTCATTAAGGGAACGGCTACCCCGCGGACCGCCGGGAGCTCCCGCGGCGCCTTCCCCATCACTCGTTCGGCAACTCCGTTCCCCATCCGCCCGGTGGCCCCGCCTGTGCCACCCACGGCCCGCGCCCCCGTCCCGGTACCTCCAGCTCCCGTCCCTATGGAGCTGGATCGTACTAGGGCTCGGGGTGCCCCTCGTCGAGCCTGCTTCAGATGCGGCGACCCCAACCATTTGGCTCGGGACTGTCCGCTCCCCGCCCGACGTCCGCCATGTGGACATCCTCGACGAGGTAATCCAGCAACTTGGCGATGAGATGCTGGGAGAGCTGCTTTGCGCGGTTGTCCGATACTGCGGCCTTAGCGGAGGCGCATTCGGAGGCTCCGGCAGAGGATTTTGTCCCCGCGACGAGTGACTGGTGTGCCCTCGTTCGCGTCCATAAATCGTTTCACTTGTTTGTATGATGAATCAACTCCCTTGCCCTACAACGAGCCCGAAACGAAAGACGCACCCTCTGCCCCCTCCGAAGCCCCCGTTCAGATTCGCCGACTTGCCTGGGAGAAAAAGCTACCTGGCAGTTATACCATCTCTGCCGCTCCTGGCGTTAACTCGCTGCACCTCCCCCTTGAACTTGAGTCCACTGCGAACGCGCTCAAGCTCTCCCTCTCGGGTCTGGTCGACTGCGGAGCTACTTCGGACTTTATCGACACAGAATATGTCAACCGGAATAATGTGCCAGTCCGAAATCTCTCAGTACCCATCCCGGTCTACAACGTCGACAGCACCCCCAATGATGCTGGGTCTATTCGCCAAATCGCGGACCTCGTTCTACGGTACAACGGACACTCGAACGCGCGTTCAGCTGGCTGTAACCCACCTTGGGAAACAGGACCTGATACTCGGATACTCCTGGCTCAAAAGGCATAACCCCGAGATCAACTGGGAAACAAAGGAGGTGAAAATGAGTCGTTGCCCCCGCAGCTGCTCTACCTGCCGTGACGAAGAGCGGACCGAACGCGCCGAGGTTCGGCGGCTCCGACTCCTTAAATCACGACTACTTGCGGGCGCCTTCCCCACTGTTTGCGCTATCGATATCGCTGGCCCAGATGATGCTGACGACGAGCTCGGAGCTGCCTGGACCCTCCGGAGCCCTCCCCAGATCTCGACGGCGACGAGCATCTTGAAGACGGCGACCGCATCTTCTACACCTCCTTTCGCCCAGTTGAGGAGATCCGCGCTGGCAGTACAGTGTCCCAACGCCTTGCAGAGGCCTTCGCCCGTAACTCGGCCCCTCCGCCCTGGAGATCCCGGACTGGGCCAAGGAGTTCCAAGACGTCTTCGACAAGGAGTCCTTTGACACGTTACCAGA